AGGGCAAGCTGAGAGCCTTCAACAAACTCAAAGTCACCCAGTGAATTCATGGCTAAGTGAGGACTAGAACCCAGACAAATGGCAGGTTCAGCTTTGGAAAGGTTGAAGACTACTAGTCAAATTCAACCAAATTTAGATGACTTAGTTATCTTTTCATGGCCAGGAGGAGATGCTTTCATCTGCCCAGACCATGTACATGGTGGGCATGTCATGAGTGGAGCTGGCTGGAGCCGGGGGTCAGACTAGATGGCCTGGGAGACCCCTTCTGACTCACTCTGTGTCTATGTTTTAGGTTGGGGTGCCAATGAGTAGTTTTACTGCCTTTTTAACAATGGTTAACCACCCCAGGACTTTTCCTGGACTTAAGAGAGAAGTATGGATATTTTAAGTCAACCCAATCAAACAGATACAATGTTAACAAGGAAGAAGATACGGTAACTCTCCTCTATGGGCTCTCAGTCCAAATTAAGGAAGCAAATGACCATGAGATTAAATAATTTATTACCATGGCTAAGATGCACACATATGCTTGGTACCCCCTTTATATGGTGAATTGTAAAAAAATAGTTTTAATACAGTATCAAAATTTACATACGTCTCAAGTCAAAGGACCCCACGACTTCCTGCAGAACTTGGCCAAGATCCAGCAAGCACACAATTGGTTCTGAAGGCTTTGGAGTTTTATTTCTTGGACAGCAGCAGTCGCCCAACGCCCCACTGCAAAGGTTTTGTTTGAAGCGTGTGCCACAAGGCGTTTGGAAAGAGGGCCTGCTGTTCAATGAAAAATAGTTAAAACCCCCACTGGAAACACAGCAACTCTTACGCTTCTCCAAAGTAGGCCTCTGGATCCAGCCCTTGACTGCAGGTACAAATTCTTTGAGGGGTTCTTTTCAACTGCTCATTCCTTGCATAATCATAGGAATACAACAATTTAAGATGGATAAAGCAAGTGATGATTTTGATTGGCATGGCATTAAAAAAAAATCCAAGACGGTGACCAAGTCACTGCAGCAAATCAATCCCTTTGAGACTTTTTTCTTTCTGTAAAACGGGTAGCCAATTTATGCCATGCTACCGCAAGTTTAAAGGATTGTGCTGCAACACCGCTGCCACATTCCACGACTCACAGACCAATTACACAACATGTAACGAAGCTCACGAATTTGTTAAATCAAAACAAAACAAAACAAAGAGGAAGGCATCAGCTTGGATTCAATTTAAACCAACAAAACCCACAAACTTGGGAATTGTTGCATTCCTATTTTTTATTTTGTATTCTTTTAAATACTCAGCTATGGTTAAAAAGTCAAAGCAACAGCATTTCATCACAAGCCCTGTTGCACATTCATACAAGAAACTGTTGCTGCATTTTGATATATACATAAAATAGCTATCAGAGCATTGCAATACACACAATCTAATGCATATGCAGTGTGGGGTTGGAATGTCCATTTAAGCCCAACCAGGTCCAAAACCTCAGACAAACTCAGTAAGAGTTTTAAACCTCGGGTTAATGGAGGACATGCTTTTGGGAATAGTCCACATCTTTTAAAGGATGCAACCATTAGCAAGGAAAGCCCCACCGGTAAATGCAGTGTTGTTTCGGGAGTCCTGTGTGGACTCTTGTGGAGTAAACCATCTTTGGGGAAGGACGCTGTAGAGATTAGGTGCCTGGTAGCCAGAAGGGACTTCTGGTAGCATTTTGGTTGGAGGCTTCCAATATCTCATACCTCCCACAGGCCAACCCTAAGTACTACCTCACCAGCTAATAAGCATTGGGAAAGGAGCACTCTGACCTACAGGTTGGCAGGTGGATGTACCATCCTGACCCAAACGTAGGTACCACTGAAATTACGGGCAGTTGCCATTTGCTATCTATCTTCACGTGATGCATGAAATGTCAACATGGCACAAAATGGATGTCATAATACAGAGTCGGAACCAGATCACTAAGGTTCTGTAGTTTATCCGAACACAGAGGTGGGCTACTGTAGAGCGAGCTAACGGAGGCAGATCAGAACATGAGGAGTGGTGCCGGGGGGCGGACATGGCGGTCTGGTTGCTCACATGTCTGGTTCAGGTTACGCAAGCTCCAGTGCAAGAGTAGACCCAGGGCAGCACTGTAGCTTTCTTGGCCTGCCTACTCTCTTCCCACTCACCCTGCGCTCAGCCTGGCTGAGGTGGGAGAGACGGGTGGGGTGAAGGATGCTCCATGGGCCTTCAATGCACATTAGCCGTGGCTTCATGGTAGAGCACCTGTTTTCCATGGAGAAGGCCCCATGTTTAACTCCTTTCACCTCCGGATGGGACTGGGAAAATTCCTGGAGAGCCACTGCGATGGCACCAGCAATACTGGAGCATGGGCCCGATTCAGCAAAAAGCCAGCTTCCTTGATGGGGTCTTGGCCGCTGGACCTTTCTGGGCCTGTGACGTGCCACCAGAGGAGCTCCAGAATCCCTGGGCACTAGTGCCGGGGCAGGACCACACCACTGAATATCCACTGCTGCTTGCGATCCCCAACCTGGAGTCTGTTCACCACCTTCTCTCTACTGTTTTGCACCAGAATACTCAATGTTAGCAGCTGGTGCTGTAGGCAGAATGTGATCAGTGCCTGGAAAGCCCTGAATGCTTCCCAAATCCTGAGCAGCTGGACTGAAAGGGACCCCCCAGGTCCCCAGTGTCCTGCTGCCCTGAACACGGCAGCAGGCATTCACAGGACCATCAAGTGCCTCCTAGTTTCAGGTTTCATGTTGTGAATGGTCAGGGCCCTTCTGTTGCATCCTCATCTCCTTGACGGAATGCAACTTTTGCCTATTTTCTGGACTTGCAACTCTTCACACTGGCAAAGATCTGCTGTGAATCTGCACTTCTGAAATGGTTCAAAATCTCCCCCATGCATATTTTCATGCTCTAGCCTGAAAATATGCATTTTGGCCAGCATTTAAAAAAATGTTTCTATGACTAAATTTCCGGGAAAGTTTTTTTCCCCTAAAGTCTGCAAATCCAGAGGAATCCATGTACTCAGAAAAAGCTGGTCTGCTGCAGAACCCATGGCTTAGATTCACAGAACTTGTTGTGAACCACAGAGAGCTTTAGCTATTGGGCAGTATAAAAATAAAATCAATAAAATAACATAAATAAATCCAATTCACTGGCGGATTCCTCCAGTATTTGCACTGCCACCCCAGCAGATTTAATTATTTCTGCTGCTCTGGTAAGTAATGCCAAAGAGGGGCGATGCGGGGGGGGGGGGGGTCAGTCACCTGCACCTAAGGATGTGCAAAAATGCAACCCATGCATTTTTGCAGTTCTATGAATTCCTTCTTAAAGTCTTATTCCTGAAGGCAAGGACCATTGTTTCCCAATCAAGAATATCTGTCTCAGTTTCATAAACTAAAGCTTGAATTTGTAGATTTGTGTGTGGGGGTTGGAGGGAGGAAGGGGAGGGGGAATTGTATATTTGTATGTATGCACATTTTTTGGAAGTGTACTTCTGCAGAAATGCACATAAATGAGTATACAACTTCCAGAGATGGCTACAGTGGCCCAAAATCTGTACTCCCGCTTGCACTTTGGGTCATGAACAAGACACGTCATGTGATCTGCGCACGTGACAAACTTCTCCTGCTACCCGGTCTGCATCCCAAAGGTGGCACCAGAGTCTCAAGACCCCAGTCTCTGGTACATAGTAATGATGTCATCAGTGTGTGGCAGGGCCTCAACTGAGACACAATCTGGAATCCGGGTTTATTTTTTGGATGCCCAGCATTTAAATTCAGCTGGCCCTGTATGCAGCTAAGTCCACCAGCCATGATGAGGCCTCAGGAACCAGATTCCTTCAGATTTGCTAGCTGATGTATGTATTGGTTGGTCAGTCCAAAAAACCTAGCAAGTGTGGAGTTTTACAGAACAGCCTCTTCCCTAAACACGCCAATTTCTGGTCTGGTGAACTTTTGAAAGCAACTTCTACATTCTAGAAAGCCCTACAAATCCTTCCTTCGTTTCTCCAGCTTTATCTGTTTCTCTCAACCCTGATGATCTTCCCTTGAGTAAACCCTCAACTTGTTTTGTAGACTCTTCTTCAGCTTCCAGCTGCTCAACCCCCCAAAATATACCTGGTCTCCAGTCAGTCTCAAGGATGGGTCCCATCTCAGCCCTGGGGCAGTTGGGCTGGAAGTGTATGCCCACCCACCAGTCGGATGGTGGTCAAAGATCTACCTGGTCTCTCAGACAGGAAGTTTCACTCGCTACAAGAGCAGCCCCAGTGGTTAGAAACTCCACTACTGGGTGTGCCTCAAGCCTGGGCTACAAGCGTTGCATTTACTTTAAAGGAGGACTTGACAGGAGAAATGACAATTCTTGGGAACACATTCCAAGTGAATGAAACCAAAAGTATTCTTCCTTTTGCCTGGGGGAGGGACCCACCTCAGATTTACTGCTCTAGTTTTCTTTGCTACACTACTGGCTGGTTAGGAGACCTGAAGGTCTTTTTTTTAGCACCTCAGAATGTGATTATTTGACGAAGTGGAAAGAGAACTGTTTCAGCTGCAATCTGCCAAAGCACCATTAACTAGTATTTTAGATGCTCAAGTGTAGGGCTGACTGGGAGGGCTCTTTCTCCAAACTGTGAAGACGAAAGGCATCTCTCCAGTCCAATGAAAAGCTCCTGGAATGTCCTGAGAAACCCACCAAAGCACCCTCTCACTCGCACAAAAGTCCTTCCTCTGCAGAATGTCTTCCTGTGTCGGACTCAGAACTGCCACGTGGGTTATCAGGTGGATCCTCCCTGGTATGTACACTGGAAATGGTGGTAGTCGAAGCAGAATTGGACTTGGCGGTCTATGTCAAAAGCCGGGAGAGCTGTACTTTCGAGCAAAGTCTTTGCAGAAAAATAGTCTATTCTAGAGAGTGACTGGAGATATCGCATGGGAAGTAAAGAGGCTGCTGAGAACAGAGTCAGTCTGCCAGCAGTTGAAACGCTTCCTTGTTTTGGTATCCATTCACATCGGGCCTTTGTACTGATTTCCAGACAAGTGCTGTCTAATTCCAGGACATGAGCCGGCAGCATCTCCAAGTTTCCTCCACACAACCTGAGAACAGAATGGGAAAAGCATGTCAGTGATCTTCTGCAGAAACCTACAGTAATGGCCCCAAACCATCCCTATGTGGGTACCTACACTCTGTATATTCATTCAGTACCTTACATTCAGTACAGAAAGGGGTTTACTTGGTCCCAGAACTTAAAACTGTTCTGCAGAATGCTACCAAAAATTGCATACCTGTAGCCATTTCAGCACACTTCCGTCAGTTGTAGCACCTGCATGCTCTGAATCGTGTGATTAAAAAACCATGTGTTTGCAGTGTCCCGATCCCCACCACCTGCCTTGTATCGATAGGTTAGTATTGGGACATGATGCATGGTGGTGCAGGAACATTAATGCCAGGGTGACCACTTGTCTCCTGCTAGAACCCTGGAAATGTTACAGCTGAGAGGCCGCATGTTTGTGGTACTTACTGGTCACATCTTAATCAGTTCCAAAAGATATGCACATATATATTTCTGAATTTTTGAACTCTCTTTCAGGACTTAAAAGCCCTCACAAGGTGTACAACCTAAATAATAATAGTAGTACATAAACTCGCCATTCTTTAAAAAGTAAATATATTCACATCTTAAAATGAACAGACTAGAATCCTCTAGCTGGCAATTCATAGAATTCGGTCTGAAATTAAAAGTCTTCCAAATTTTCTTAAATATTGCTCCTGGTGGAGCAGCACGAACTCGAGAAACCCACAAATGCAGGGCTATCACTGAGAATGCCCCGCCCCTTTGCAGCCGGGTGTCCAACTTTTAATGCTGGGCCAAAGGCAATGACCTCTGCGCACAGGCAGGATAGTGCAGTGAAGCAGTGAAATCCTGAGCAGAGCCGTCCAGGTGCCAACGGCATCAGCCTGGCTGGAACACACGGCCCCTCCGTTTGATGAACACTCGACCTATTCGCCAGTTTGGCAACAACCACCACCACCCCCCCCAAGCATCATCTTAGGGGACTTTTCCAAGATCACAGCTGGGTCTGGACCTTTTGCTGCACCAGCCACAGAGCAGCATTCCAAGTGCCTTCCCAAAACATGCTGGGCATTTCACTCTTGCATTCAAGTTCCATTTCCCCTCCAGTCTCTTCTTTTATTTCACTGTCCTGTGATTTGTTTCCGCTTGTTTTTCGTCTCTCTCTCAGTTCTGGTAAAAGACAACTCCTGTTACCTTCTCACTAGCCTCTTCCTCTACCCTTCAGCCGTGCCATCAGGCAAATACAGAGAAAAACTGATTCCAGCTTTCCTCATTTGCAGGTTGCAGATCCCATGGACCTGAAGGCCACATAGAAGTCATTGCCATGTGCTAACCGCCTCCGTGGACTTGTCCTGGGAGGTGGGCGGCACAATGATGAAAGTGCAAAGTCACATCATGTTTTCTCTTCCCTTCCATTAGCAGGAAAAGGGCAAACCCTTTTTCATAGGAAAGGAACAGCAACCACACAGAAATCCATCTTCCCTGGGTTTTGCGACCTGGCCTGATAGAATGCTTTGCACTAGGTGTAACTGGGGGAAGCCAGTTGGCTGCAGTGCCTGCACTTCAACGGGGATGAGAATCGGTCCTTAAAAGCAGAAATAAATTCCCCTTCACAGGGGCTGCCGGCCAAGGTGAGGCTGTGCTCTTATTGTTGCTATGGGAACAACTGGGTTTCCTGGCATCCCCGTGCCATTGAACAGGTATGCTCATTGCTATTCTATGCAGTTTGGAGCACTCGAACGACTCTATGTGAGGCTGACTGTTAAAAGCCTGCCCAGAGTCCAGCCACTCCAGAATGCTCTGGCCAAACCACTGACTGGGGTGAATTTCAAGGATCATGTGGCTCCCTCTCAAGGACAGCTTCGCTAGCTCCTGATCCATTCCTGGGTGCAGTTTGAAGGGTGCCAGTAATAACTTAGCAAGCCCTGCATGACATGAGATCAGACTATGGAAAAGAGCACGTTTTCCTTTATAAGTTTGCTTGGGATTTAAGAGATTTAGGAATCTCTTCCAAAATTCCTGGAAGAGAACTTCTCCCACACCATCAGGGAACATTTGGCAGGAATGTGAAACAGGGTCTTCTTGGTGACCGCTACCAGGCTACGGAACTCTGCCACGCAAGGCCGGGCTAGTGCCACAAAAGCATCAGGGAAGGCTTGCTGAGTGTGGGCACGGGTCCGTCTTCTGCTGCATCCTGAGCACTCAAGAGGCCAAAGAAATGCCTGCAAGATCCCCCAAGGCAAGGCATGGGTGCCACTGTGTCCACTTGGCCATGGTCCCCAGGCCTGCTCCTTGTACCTGAGGCAGCACCTGGCCACCAAGGATAGGCTGAATGTTCAAGACCCTTTCTTATCCCCTATTAAAACTGCCCACACTGATGGCCATCACAACATCTTGTGGTGGAGAATTCATAACTATGCACTCGGTGAAGAATGACTTTATTTAAATCTACTGAGGTTGTATATTAATCCCACCATTTTTCTGAAAAGAACCCAAGGCAGCTTATATAATCCTCTTCCTCCTCCCCTCCACTTTGTCCTCAAAACAAGCCTGTGAGGTAGAAACATAGAAACAGAGCGAGTCAGAAGGAGTCTCCCGGGCCATCTAGTCTGACCCCCGGCTCCGCTCACGACAGGCCCACCATGCGCATGTCCAGCCTATCTTTGAACACCCACACCAATGGGGCTTCAACGACCTCTCGTGGAAGCCCATTCCACACCCTCGGGGTCCTGACTGTCAGGAAATGCTTCCTGACATCCAAATGGAACCTTGGCTCCCTGAGCTTTGCTCAGTTGGAGCACGTCCTGCCTTCCTCTGCAGGGGAGAACAGGTCTCTACCCACCTCTGTGTGACACCCCCTCACATACCTGCATGTCGCCAACAGATCCCCTCTGAGTCTCCTCTTCTCCAGGCTGAAGAGACCCATTGCCTCAGTCTCGCCTCATACGGCATCCCCTGCAAACTGGCCACCAACCTTGTGGCCCTACGCTGCACTGACTCTAACCTGGCTATATCCTTTCTGTAATGAGGGGCCCAAAACTGAACACAATACTCCACTTGCAGGCGCACAAGAGTCATATAGAGTGGTAGTAATACCTCTCTAGATCTAGAAGCCACACTTCTGGCCATGCAACCAAGGGTGGCGTTCGCCCTCTTGACCACCGCATCACACTGCTGGCTCATGTTCAGCCTGCAGTCACCCAGCACCCCAAGATCCCTTTCACAAGTGCTGCTCTCCAGACACTTGTCCCCTAACCTGTACTTATGACACCCATTTCAATGCCTCAAGTGCAAGGCCTTGCACTTATTCACATTGAACGCCATCCTGTTGCCTCCTGCCCACTTCCATAGTCTGTCCAGATCCTTTTGGATCTGGAGTACCTGCTCCTCAGTTGTGGCCACTGCTCCAGTTTTAGTGTCGTCTGTGAATTTGATCAGCAGACTGTTCACCCCTTCTTCCATGTCATTGATGAAAAGATTAAACAAGATCGGTCCCAGGACAGAGCCCTGGGGGACCCCGCTCGTCACTGGCTGCCATCCCGATGATTCCCCGCTCATGGTTACCTTCTGCTTTCGGTCAGTCAACCATGCCCTAATCCACCGGACAGTGCTTTGGTGTATCCCAAAACTCCTCAGTTTCTCCACCAGGATATCATGGGGCACTTTGTCAAAGGCCTTGCTGAAATCCAGGTAAAGTTAGGCTAGACTGAAAGTCACTGGCTGGCCCCAGACCATCCGTGGGCTTCCGGGCTAAACAAGGACTATTAAAAAGATCCTCAGAATTCCAGTCCAATCTAACCCCAGCATCATGTTTTGGCATAAAGGCACCATCCATCCATCCATCCATCGTATTTCTTGTTCTTTCTATTTGCATTCTGTGCAGCTGTAGAATTTGCACGCATCAACCTTCCTTTCTATTGCCAGGGCGTTAATGCTTTGCTGAGTGGCTTTCTGCAAAACTTCTCATTATATGAAAAGTGCATTTCCAAACAACCCACTTTCTATTCAACAAGCAACAGAAAATATTTACCCAGCAGATACTGCTGATGCAGCAAGAAAGCACAACTCGACATTTGCGATTGCCTCCATTTCCAGAGGAAATAATGCCCTGCAGCTGATGACAAGGGGACGCACTGCATAAAACCTCAGCGTGCACAAGGAAGGGCGTCCTGCAGCACTCTGAGAGCACCACATCGCCTCCTTGCTGTTTTCCCCGTACCTGTGGGCAAAGCGGCACTTGTGCTTATCACTTCAACAGTCAGATGTTCGGCAAATGATGCATCAAATGCCGCATTTGACAATCACTTCTGTATCCTAAGTTAGTTGCATCTTTCTCCACTGAAGATATGATGTCCTGTTGATTTCACTGGGAAAGGAGACCCATTCAGCTGGGATCCCATGCAGAGCCGCCGACTTTTTCCGCCAGAAATACATTTTCCTGTGCTAGGACCCCAAAACCACTCCGCATCAGTCAGACCGGTGGGTTGTTTTCTTCTGACTTTGCTGCTGCCTCTATTTACAGGATCCCTATTACAGAGCCAGTGAGGTGTGGTGGTGAAGAGCACGGGACTGGGACTCAGGCATTCTGGGTTCTAGTCCCTGCTCAGCCATGGAGCCAACTGGGTGACTTTGGGCAAGTCACACACTCTCAGCCCAGGCTACCTCACAGGGTTGTTGTTGTGTGGATAAGATTGAGAGCAGCAGGAGCAGAATGGTGTAAGCTGCCTTGAGTTCCTTGGAAGGGAAAAAAAAGTGAGCAATGATCATAATAAACACACAAATGTATCTCGGACAGAGTGCTCCGAGTCTGCCTGAGATCCCTGCTCTATGGGATGCCCCTGCTTCTCAGGAGGAGGGAAGGCCAGGGACCCAGGGGAGAAACCCCGACAGTGGATGAGGGACAGGCCCTCAAGAGTGCTGCAGGCAGGCTTGGTCTCGGGCGCGGAGAGCGCCCAGCCCTTGGGAGCACCATGGCTTGAAGAGACGCATGCTGCTGTTCCTTCCCAGGTGCAGCACCAGACT